ACTGTACTGTAGTCCACGAAGCCTTTTTTTTTCTCACTTGCGTCACCATATATGTTGATGTCTAAGACCTGTCAACATTGAAGTGCCTTTTGCGCTTGCATTTCTCATATGTTAGCTCATAAATGAGCTTGTACCACGTGTTAACGCGTACCAGCTGCAACGACCTTCTCTTACAATAACGCTGTCGGTGGCAAAATGGCAGATCATCCAGAGCATGTTCAACGTGGCGTCGTGCATCATGACGACGCCCGTGAGTTACCACGGAGGCGTCGGACACAAGCCGGTAATACTTGGCATCGGCGCCCTCTTTGTGGCCACCGGCTCTATGGTGTTCGCCTCGCCACACTTCCTGGCACCGCCGTACATGCCGCTGGGCAGCGGCTCCGCCGACTCCTGCCCCCAGCGGGGCCTCCCCGAAAAGTGCGCCGTCCTGGCACGCTCAGGTGCCGCCAGCGCCAACTCCTTCAAGTACTTTTTCATGGTAAGAGCAGTATTTATTGCACCGGTACCAAACTCTGGTGGGAAACGCTGTGTGATGCTTGCTTGCATTTGGGGACCTGTTTACGAAGATTCAGGAAAGAGATCTAGAGGGAGACGATAGGAAAACGGCAGATGCAAGGTTATTAGGTGCGAACCGTATTCATGGTCGAGCTCTTCAAGCTCAATCCGGTGTGCGGCGCGACCAGCCTTACTGCACATGCGCGCCCCTCACCCCTTCTCTTCTCCAATGCTCTCCCCTCGCTCGCCTCGCAACGGTGACGCAGGCAGCATCTGCTAGCCTATGCTCGCTCCTCCTTCTATTTCCTCTAGGCGTCCCTCCCAGCGGCGTTTACAGCCCCATTGCGCCCGTTTACAGTCCCGTCCCCCTCTCTCACCTCGAAACGTCGACGTTGACAGCGTCTGCTAACTAGTTTTTTGATTTAAAAAAAAAAGAAACCGACCACTCGCACTGCACAACCGTTTACAGACCAAGCCGTATAATAGGTACTGGATCTTGACCTCCAAGGTAGTGCCGGTGGGAGATTTCTCCCATGTGTTGTTGAACAATAAAAATCACCGCCACATGCGCAAAGTGAATGATTTTAGAGGAACTTGCTTGGAGGTGCATGGAGCGTTTCTTGGCGAGACCATTTCTGTAGGAAGGCTTGTTAACGATCTGGCGTATGATGTGTACCTCAAAGGTGCACATCATACGCGGCCGGCACTGCACAGTGTTGGCCACGTCAATCGGCACGTTAACTACCTGCCCTTTATGCCACACTGGCCGCTGGCACGAGTCAGTCTCCGTTTCCTTCACTTTCTTCTTAACCGATAGTTCTTTTTGGTTTGGCCACCTGCTGTTTTCTAAGTATTTACCAGTCAATTTCTGGTTCGCTTCCTCCATTTTGTATCGACATTCTTCATGTACAAGTAGCTGAAAACCTTTCTAGCCCGACGCTCCTCCCCCATTTCTCTCAATCGCTTCTCAAATTTTATCTTGCTGCTAACTTCCTTGCCCTCAAATGATGACCATCCCACATCACCTTGTACTCCCTGATTTGGTGTACTCCCGTGAGCTCCGAAAGCAAGCCTACATATTCCACGTTGCTTAATTTCTAATCTTGCTTGAATTTCTGATCTCATGCACAAGACAGCATTGCCGAACGTCAGCCCAGGAGCCATGACCCCTTTCCATATTCCTCTCACAACATCATACCTATTGTAATTCCACAGTGCCCTGTTTTTCATTACCGCTGCATTCCTGTTACCTTTAGTCGACACGTATATTTCATGTTCCTTAGGTACTCGGCCCATTGCTTATCCATACGCCCAGGATATTTGTATTTATCTGTTGTCTCTAGCGTGACCTCCTGTATTCTAAGCTCACTACCTTCGTCATCATTGAAAATAATGACTGCTGATTTTTCCTTACTGAATCTAAAATCTAACCTATCTCCCTCATTACCGCAGATGTCCATCAATCTCTGCAAATCTTCCTTGTTGTTGGCCATTAGCACTATATCATTTGCGTACATTAATGCTGGTAGTGCCTGATCAATGAGTTTTCCTTGTTTGACTAAAGAGAGGTTGAAGCCCAGTACACTTCCCTCTAATTTGGCCTCTAATCCTTGTAGGTACATCATAAATAACAAGGGTGACAGGGGACACCCCTGTCTAAGCCCCGTTTTACCTCTGCAGGCTTGGATACCTGCTTTTTTTCCCCTTTATAACTACCTTGTTACCTTTATAGATATCATTTAAAAGATTAGTGACTACATGTTCCACGCCTAGTGTGTCCAGTATTCCCCACAATTCCTCTTGAACCACGCTATCGTACGCTCCCTTGATATCCAAAAATGCTAGCCACAGGGGCCTGTGTTCCTTTTTTGCTATTTCGATGCACTGCGTCAGTGAGAACAGATTGTCTTCCAACCTCCCGTGTTTCCGAAACCCATTCTGCAGTTCCCCCAGCACCCCGTCATCCTCTATCCATGCCTGCAGTCTTTCCTTTATAATCTGCATCGCCAGCCTGTACCACTGATGTCAGTGTTATAGGACGGTAGTTGTTTATGTCAGCTTTGTCCCCCTTTCCTTTTTTGATCATGCTCATCCTGCTAAGTTTCCATCCATCAGGAACTTCACCATCGATTATTATTTGGCTCACTGCCTCTCTCATAGCCTGCTTAGACTTCGGACCTAATGTCTTTATCAGCATAATTGGAATGCCATCTGGGCCTGTTGATGTACTACTAGGAATCCCTTTCTCAGCCCTTCCCCACTCTTGTTGTGAAAATGGAGCCATTGCACCACTTGATTCGTCCTTGTCTATTGTGGTGCATAAAGTACTTCTTTGTTGAAATTTTTCTGTCACCCTTGTTCTTATATATTCAATAGCTTCGTCCCCTTCTGGCCTAGCACCTTGGGCTGTAGTTATAAAACTCTGCTCTAGGCTCGTCTCATTTCTTAGGGAGTTTAGATGGTTCTAAAATTTCGCAGCTGCTTTTCTATCTTTTTTATGTACTTCTGCCAGCCACTGAGCTCCCTTTCTTCAAATTTTTTCATTGATCAGAAGGGATGCATCCCTTCTACAGCTTAGAAAGGTTTCCCATTTTCTTTAAACATCATCTGTCGGTTCACCCCGCTGCTTAGCATGGCTGTGTTCCCTAGAAGCTTCCTGACGTTTTGCTATGGCTCTCTTACCTTCCTCATCCCACCAACTTTTGGGTTTGTGTCTTCTTTTCAGGGTTGACTTGTCACGCGTCTTAGCAAGCTCTAGCTCAAAGAGTCTAATTAGATTCGGGATGTTACCATACGCCTTGGGGGGCGGCGCGCCACTTAGTGAGCATTGTTGAAATTACCGGAGAGTCGACCAGAGCAGTAACTTTGAGCGGCGACCGGAAAAGATTACCCTGGCGAAGCTGGTGCTCACGCTGGCAGCCGCCGCCGGACAAGCCACGAGCAATAGAAGCTTGCTGAGCAAGCTCCTAAAAATTCGCAGCGTGCGTGTTATCTAAGAGCGGACTTCGGGTCTCTGTGTTCAAACATGTTACAGTAGGAAACTTCGATCTGTGACTGCGTGCTTTGCGCCTCCCTAGGTTTCTCTCTTGCGCAACACCGCGATGAGCGCTAAGGTCAATGCCGCCGCCAGTGTAAGAGTCAGCGCCCGCTGCTTCGCAGGTACACATGGTTACCTTTAACAGGAGGTGGTGTAATTTTGCCAGGCACGTGTTCCAATGAATAACCGACGCTAAGGGAGGAGAACAGTCGAGGAGGTACTACACGAATAAGAAAAAAAAGGTAACACTAACAAGGTGCAGGTAATGTGAACACATACAACATGAGCACGCACTTACTATTCACACTATTCAAGCCCAATCGACTTTGGGAAAGACAGAGGGGAGCTTTGGGATGTTACCTTACGTATGGAACTCAGTGTGGGCCAATGTCTCAGGTAGAATCTCCCGTCGTGCAAGGTGACCAAGTTCAGGTTCAAGAACACATTTAGAGTTTTCAGGAATGCTAACTAGCACAGAGAGGCACATCAATCAATCAATCAATCAATCAATCAATCAATCAATCAATCAATCAATCAATCATGAGCAATAATTGGTGGTAGAAACAATTTAGTCCTTTAAATGAGTTTTCCTTATATGGATGATCTACTCCAGCCAACAGCAACCGAAATTAACCGAAAACACCAACAATTTAACAGACGTTGGACAACGATTTTTTGAGCCAATATTAGCCATCTCTAGCCGACATGAGCCACCACTTCACCAGCAGTAATTCAGTAGACGCGGTAGTTGAAATTTGATCAGAAATATTGACGGTGCTACCATAGGCAAGATGTGTGTGGAAGGTGTCAAAAAAGACATTTGTCTCCAGAAAAAAAGTCCTTACAACGTGATAAGGGCGTACTTGTGCATCCCATTGAAGATGTGTGGTAATATCATCCCAGAAATAGAAAAAGAAAAGGAGAGTAGGTTGACAAGAGGATGAAGAGGACCTCTGCTCATATATGTGGTTCCTGTTTGACGCAGGTGGGGCACGCGCTGCATGGCGTCGGTTCGTCGCCATTCTACACTCTCGGCGTGGCTTACCTGGACCAAAACACGCCTTCGGCTAGTGCATCTGTCTACATGGGTAACTATATGTAACCTTGGCTATATAAGACAACGCAAACATATTACTATACAGCACGGCGCTTATTATGCGGGCTGATGTGAAAGGCTGACGTGCTGCGATTACAAAAGTGCACGAGCCTGGTCCAACGCGGTTTGTGGCTGCAAACGATGCGTCTATAAAGAATACCCGGAAGGAAAAAGTCTGTGACTCATGAGAGACAGGGAACAATTCACGCTCAACAAAAGTTCTAGTTTCTTGCTCTGTTGATCTGTTAATCTCTGTTCGCTGTTTTTCTGCTCCGATTCATCGTTCCACTTTACGCTTTTATTATATGTGGTGTAAGGGAACATTAAAGTGAAAGGAGTTCTTCTAGAGTGGTGGAGTCACTTCAAGTGATAAAGCCGCGCTTTTAAAATTAGTTCTCGTTGGCGTAGATGCAGTACCTCTAACTGCATGTTTGCAAGATGGCCGATACAGAATGCTTTCTGCAGGCATCTTTTACGCCACGTCCGTGCTGGGACCTGCCTTGGGCTTCCTCCTTGGCGGTTACTTCCTTTCGAAATACACGGACATAACCGCCGATCCTTCGAAGTGAGTGCGTCCAGACATTCCAATCCGTATTGTGAACACTGCAATGCAATGATTTTGGTGAGGATATGAGACACACGAGGTTTGTTTCAATGGCTTAAAACATGTACCTCAAAATATGATCATGCTGCGAAAGAAAGCATGCGAGTCGAAAAAAATGAGGGGACCCTAAAGCTTCGCCTCTATAGGAGTTGAACGCGATAGAGGTATTTTATTCCTAGTGCGTACTTCAAGTACTTAGTGCATGAAGCATTTTCGAAATTGCTACGAACTTATTACGTGGCCTTAAAGGAATAGGTGCAGTAGTGTGTGTGCCTTTTGTAGTGGGTGACCGGCTCTGAGTGAAGCCATTGTAATAATAACATGTTCTGACGCCCACTGGCAATAAGCGCTTGTATCACGCATTATTACTGCAATATTTTATGTTGCATTGTGAAGCAAGTGTACAGGGAGCGTGTGTTTATAAAGCGCAAAAGCTACTTTCACTGCTTTTCCAAGTAGAAGTCCTTTCACTATGTTTACAAGCAGACGCGCGGTGAATTTCTGAAAAAAAGAAATCGCGTGTCGTTTTTAAGCGCATATATAAAGACGTTCAATTGCTGTGCCGAGAAAAAAATGAGATGCAATATTCTCTTTTTTTTTTTCCTTCAGGCTGGGAATGGACCCTTCGAGTGCTAACTGGGTGGGCGCTTGGTGGCTTGGCTTCTCCTGCGCCTGCATCGTGACCTTCCTCACTGCCTTTCCGATGGCGAGTTTTCCAAGAGCATTACCAAGTACGACATAAAAAAAATTGTCTTAATACTAACGCATTGGATGTACCTGTTCGTGCTCTTTAACGCGTCACAGATAAAACGGCGTGTTGAAGTAAAATTTAAGTAGGTCTACAGGAACACGAAACTCAGATGAATATTTTGTCTTCATTTGTGGACTCGGCATATTAAAAGCTCTACTTAACGCGCCAACCACAAGAAGATATTCGTAATTGTTCATTTTGTAGCACTTATAATGTGTTTGTTCACAATGACCATACCAGCGTACCTTAAGGAGTCTGATTTTCGTTTGAAGATCTCCGGGACACTGTACCTACTTACTTTGAAACATAGATGTGGAATATCATCACGGGAGTCTGGGCAGTGCAGAAATTTTGACCCAGATACTTAAGAACTGTGCGGTCGTGCAGATGTGGAAAAAATTACATCATGTAAAAAAATTGGTGGACCCTTACAATTCTTAAGAGTTGAACGGGATAGCGATACTCCGTTCCTAGTGCGTACTTCAAACACATAGCGCAAAAAACATTTTCGAACTTGCTATGCCCCAAGTTGGCCTTAGTGGGGCAATAATGTGTGTGCCCATTCTAGTGGATGATTGGCTTTAAACTATGAAAAATTATGATAATCCCTTGTTATAACCACCAATGGCACTGTACGCTTCTATCACACATTATTACGGCAATATTTCACGTTTTATTGTGAAGCATGCATACAGAACTCGTGTGTTTGTTAAGAATGAAAGTTATTTTCAATGAATTTATGGGCAGAGAAAATTATTTTCACTGTATTCACAAGCACAGGAGACAAAGTCTGTTTTCCGAGACAATGTGGGTAGTGTTTTATAGACTTCCGACACTGTTCCAGAGTGACTTCGACTTCTGGATATGCGTGTTTGTTTGCGGGACTTTTTAGGGTTCGTTGGACTGTAAAAACTTGTGTCTTGCGCATGTGTGCATGCGAGCCTAAGTTTTAAACGATAAAATGTATACATAAATGTGACAAAACTTTATTGCAATATTTTTATGCTTAAGAATAGTAGAGGAGTGGCTGTTTGTTAGAACACCCACTTTCCACGCAAACGACCCGGGTTCGGTTCCCTCTCAAACCAGGAATTTTAATAGTTTTATTTTCATCTTTCTTGATTTTTGGTCACACATGTACGCTGGGTTTTTCAGTCACGCAAACATTACGTTTTTTTTGCTCAACAAACGACGCAGACGACGGGATTTCTGCGGAAGGAACTCTTTAACGCTATTGCGCAAAAAAAAAAAAAACCGACATTTTTAATTTATCTGCTCTGAAGGGCACAAGCAGCTAGAGTATACCAGTGAGAAAATCTAGATGAAAAATTCCCATTGCTACAATATAATCTGATCAATAATGTAGGTGTAAGTCATCGGACATTTCGCGATTCACAACGCTGTTGTTTGTAGAAAACAGTGTTCTCTTGTGAAGCCTATTGTTGGGAGAGTTTTCATGTGAATTTTCGTTTTAGGCATCGCAACATTCGGTACTGTTTGGTGCACTGTTATAAGCAAAAGTTGTTAATAGAGCAAGTAAGCGACGCGAGCGAGAGGACAAAGACCAACATAAATTTATAATGAATATTATATTAATTAGTTATTATAAGTAATATTAAATAGTATTAATTAAATAATTAATAATTAATCTTCATTTACAATATTCCAGACATTCAATTCGCGTTAGCGTTTCAATTGCCTAAATTAACGCATCCTTGAAAGTATGTGCTCAACTAGCTTTGATGTGCGAGGACTGCTGAAAAAGGAGGACGCACTCTATTGAAGACATTAAGTGGACTTGCATCTACACACGAGTAGGAAAAGCGTACCGCAAACTCCTACCATTAATTTGCGCAGCTGCCGTACAACGGGCGAAAGATCTGTCGAGGCTGCAGAAGGCGAAAGCAATGAAATCCCAGAAGCAAACGCAGAGCGAAACCGATGTGCAAGCTGCACCGGAGGTCAAGGCTATACCAGATGTCCAGGCTACTTCGCAGGCCTCTGGAGCTCCTCTTGCTACCCGGGGTTCTGTGACTACAGTGGTCAGCCCAGCTAGTCCGGCTATCCAGACTACCTACAATGCTCGGGCTACTTTGGCCAACCAGGCTACCACCTTGGGCAGTCTGCCTACAGCAGGCTCGCAAGGATCGGTAGGCGCGCAAGAAACAGCTGACCACGACGCCCAGCGTGATATGCAGATGGCAACGGAGACGACTGTTGGGAAAGCGCACACCAGAAGCCTCGTAAACCACATCAAGAGGCTCACGTGCAACTCTACCTTCATCTGCCTCACGCTCGCAGCGTGCGCCGAAAGTGAGTCGAGTGGCTAGTAGTTTTATGGGCGAAGCTCTTTATAGCAACACCCGTTCGTCCCTCGTAGTCGTAGTGTGTAACAATTTTTACATTTTGACCTCCAAGGTAGTGCCGGTGGGAGATTTCTTCTGTACATTGTTGAACAATAAAAAATAGTGCTCAATGTACATGGCAATGGCTGCTAATGGGGAATGAAAGGCAGGAGCATTCGGCTTTTAGTTAACGCTCACGCTGCGATCTCCATTAGCAGCCATTGGCATGTACATTGAGCACTATCTGACAAGAAATGTTTGCTACATTATACTCGCTGGGTGTAACCTCCTTTTTTTAGCTTTTTTAGGTTTAGTGAGCGTTGAGCGGCAGTGCCATGAATACAATGAACTAGTATATACAATGAACTCGAGGTGATTAAAGGTGGGAAGTAGACCCGAAGCGCAAGCCGTAAGAAAGTGTGCGTGTGCCACTTCTCGTTTAGCCCTTGGAATGTCCGCTGGATGGCGGTGCTTCTATGTGGGAAATATATGACGAAAAGATGCGAGATGGTGGTACTTGGAGTGTTCAATAGATGGACGAACGGACACTCAGACAGATGCATGAATGGACGCATGAACGGACGCAGGGGCGGACGCAGGGGCGGACGCATGGACGAACGCAGGGACGGACGCACGAACAGACGCACGCACGGACGGGCAGATGGACGCATGGACGGTCACACAGACGGACGCATGGACGGACGGAAGCAAGAATGAATGGACGGACGAATGCTTCGCTCCACTCTCCATCATTCACTCCGTGGATATGCTGCGAATTTTTTTCTCGACGTCAGCGGGAGTGCAACGCTGGCTGCTATGTTATACAGCTGGTCTGGCAGTCTGATAGTACTTGTAACACAGCTCAATCTGGCGGAGGTGCAATCTGAGAATCAATTATATACATGTCTGGCATCACGCAGTGCTAAATAAATTAAGTTAGCCGGAGAGCATTGTAACCATTCAAAACTACAGAAAACTATTTGAAAATCAATACAAAACTTGGAGGTTTGCAAGTTTGCTGACCTCTTCCGCAGGGCCACTAGTAAATAACTGCCCGAGTCAAGAGGCACGTTTTATATTGGCCGGACTGGTAAGGCACGTGGACGCTCACACGTCTCTCCAGTCATGGTTCTACCGATTCTTTCATGTAGGCTTATCAACGCTAGAAAATGTTATAGAGTGAAAGCTTTATATGGCTAGGCGAAACGAAAGTCCACTGGTCCTCGTCACGCTGAACTAATTCACAGGACAAACTGTCAGTGACGCCGTTCTCTACGTCATACCCAGGCGCACGTGCTATTGGCTGTGTCGCCAGTGACGTCGTACATCCAGTCGCGCGCCCTGCCACTCAGCTCACGCACAACAGTTGCAACTTAAAAGTACCGCATGAGTAGGCCGAAGATCCTACGAACTGCCGCGGAACAGACAACTTTCGAAAATCAGCGTCGACAGCAAAAGCGAGAGAATTCGTGTTCACCAGACTCATGCTGCAATGTGGGCAGAAGTACATATCCGGGGTTGGGGGGGGGGGGGGGGGGGGCAAGCGCAGACAGCAACTGCGTACCTAGAACCTGGCGGCCTTCTAAGCCGTGCTAAATTGCGAAGCAGAACGCAAGCGCTAATGGGGGGCGTCAAATACTGCTAACATGGCTGCTAACCCCGACGCCGAGCTTACTTGAAAGATCGCATGCAAGCGACAACGTCGAGCCGCAGAAACGGCGTTGCGGGCAGACCACTGTCAACGTGGCAAGGGCGCGAACGCATTCACCGGGGCCAACGCCCACTTACGGCGGGAATTTCTCGAGTGGCTCTTAGGTGTCGCCATCTTTCATAAAATTACAACTACCTAAAAAATAAGTTGCTCACAAGGCCCTCATATATATCAGCTTGCATTGATCCCCGCAATGAAGTTGGAATTTCATTGTGTCTCACTAGATGTTTTCATGACTCATTCATACCCGGAACTTGTGCCGGATGGAATGACCTTCCCCACAACATCGCTGACATAACTGGTATTAGTGTGTTCCGTAAAGCAATTGCTATTTGTAAATATATTATGTTTGTGACTTCTTGTATAATTTTTTCTAATATCGAAATTCTTCTCTTGTACTCCTGCTACTACTTCTCATTATTTGTCTTGATATGAGTTTTTACTACCCACTTTGTTGTTTTCTCCTTTATGCTTTGTTGTTTTTTTATTCTGATTTATCCCCACTACCCTCTTTAATGCCTTCAGGCCCTGAAGGTACAATAAATAAATAAATAAATAAATAAATAAATAAATAAATAAATAAATAAATAAATAAATAAATAAATAAATAAATAAGTAAATAAATAAATAAATAAACAAACATTGTGACCGCCACTTTACGGAGTGTAAGGATGGTAATTTGAAAATTGCAATCACAGTGTGAAGGCAACTTGAGACAAGCGGTATGAGATTAGAGCCTTATTATGGAGGCTTTGTATTCAAAGGATTTCCTGTGCCTACGGTCAGACTATTACAAAAAGGAAAAAAAATGGCAGCTGCAGAGGCCATGTCCGTTGGCTACCACGACGCATTAACAGTTCGGTGTTGTGGTGCGTTATACGTAATGTCCATCAGATTTGTGCCTGTTTCATGGGATATTATCTAAATATCATATTGGCATTGCGGTGCTTTGACCATGCGACGGAGAGGTGGACGGTGTGCCTTGTAATTATTATGAGATTGCATACTCTGAACTGTCAAACTTTACGAACCACTCGCTCTTGTTTCGGCTTATTCTGCTCTTCCGTAGTTGAGTACGAAGTACTGAGAGATCGTTAAACGCTTTTTTATGATGGATTCATTACGAGTTACACTTCTGAAGCCATGGCCATTCACGATTATGTCTAGCTAGGTCGGCAATGTCATGAGCTCTGGTTTCTTAGTTCGCAGCGATGATCGCGTCTGGACTCACCGGATTCGCAACGAAGATCTTCATTTCCATGTTTGGCATCTCATCTAGCCAGGCATCCACGCTTCTAGGTAGGCGCAGGCCACACTACGGAAAAACTGAATGTAGTTGCGAGAAAACTGTTGTTCATTGGCCTCACAGCCATCTTTTTTTTTGACAGTGATTGACGTTGTAGCACATTCGGTTGCAATATCTGTGAAACACGCTTTTTGATGCATAATTTGCCCACTCTTTGACATTTGTTATACTCGGCCTCACGGCCAACTATGTTTTGGCAGCATGGTTGTGCGATGTCTTCGTCTGTTTAATTCGTATTGTTTGATTGCGACGTACCAAGTTTTTGAACTTCCCTGACCTGTTTTGAACGAAGATATGGGCAGCCGTTACTTTTTACCGAGTGCGAACACATGCTGCTCTACGATTAAGTGAAATGACTTGAGAAACTATATTATATTGTATTATGCTAGTGTTCCGCTTTTCCGGTTTGAAAATTCTCGAGAAAAATGAGAAGTACTTTTCACATATGTTCATAAACAAAATCTTCGGGATTTCCTGTTTTATTTGAGATCTTGCTGTTATTCGTCAAACACTAATCTATCTAATTTATCATTTCACACGCACCAATGACCACAAAGCACTGCTCTATTCAGTTATTGTAATGTAGTTATTGTTATAAGCATACATTACTTGTGTGGTATAGCTGTAATTGAAAATATGCTACTTGTCGTTATGCTTGAGGCAGTGCCATAGTGGTGAATCATGAAATGCCTGTCGTTACGATTCCTCGGTTGTGCGATTATCACTCTTACTTGGATTGCATCTTTGTTGGAGATCATTTGAATGTCGTTGTATGCATGTTTGTCTCAACCTATTATGATTGTTCGCAGCGTATTGCATTTCAGCGCTGTATAATATTTTGACGGCGTTGGAGCAGGTGACTTTTACATCCTTTCGAATACATCAGATGTGTTGTCCAGAGCACGACAAACTATCCTGCCCCTCTCTGACTCGATCTGTTCTGTGCACCGCAGGCATCGTATCCGTACCGAGCGCTTGCGGAGGAACACTGCTGGGTGGATACGCAATAACGAAGTTGAACTTCAAGTCGTCCACGATCGTGCGCTACTGCGTCGTGCTCTCTTTCGTGCCCTGGTTCACGCTTTTCGTGTTCATGCACTCCTGCCCCAGCAATCACAGCGCACTTGTCAACATCACCACTTGGGACGAAAGGTAGGGGTCCACTGAGCGTTGTCCCGTAATGTATAAGATCATGATTGCGGCAGCAAAGGTGACACGTAACTTGGAAACTAAATATTCGAAGTTCAATAACTTGTGGACCGAACTTGTTATGCTCGGGAGTGTTAGGTTTGAGAGAAGAAAGGAGTATTTTAGTAAAGATACTTTTTGTGGATGAGCACAAACCCGTAAAGGTACTCTTGGAATTGAACTGGCAGCTATTGCAAAACGCCACTAGGCGTATGTTCAATTACCAACTACGCCAGCCACACGCTTATGGTTCTTGATTGAAACAGCATCTTGATTGAGCTGAAATGCAAAAAAAGTGTACTTGGATTAAGAAGCAAACTAACGAATCTCAAGTTCGCATTGACTTTTTTGCCTCGGCATCCCTCGTACTATCTTAATTTTGGCAAAGTAAAACCCCCAGCTGAAACATTTTTAAAAATCTAGAAGTCGCTTAGCTGGGCTATGCCAAAATAAATGTCGCGTCAGCAAAGGGGGCACCGCTTAACTCAACATTTCATGCATGGCCACGGCTCATGTTTTGTTTTTAGATACAAAGCAGCTTGTGGCGAAACTCAATTCAGTGTGCGTGCGCATTCTCACTGCGCATGCGCACCAGCTGACCCAAGCACTGAGAACGCGTTTATGCGCTTGCCTGTTCCGGCCTGTTTAAAGTACTGGGTAAGACGCTTTGGCCCATCCGCCTTACACTCCCTCAGGAATCATGATATTCTGCAGACACGTGATGAAACAATGCGTCCTAAAAAATGGCAGCATATCCACGGCGTGAATGATGGAGAGTGGGGTGAAGCATTCGTCCGTCAATTCGTTCTTGCTTGCGTCCGTCCATGCGTCCGTCTGAGTGACGATCCATGCGTCCATCCATCCGCCCGTCTGTGCGTGCGTCTGCTCGTGCGTCCACACGTCCATCCGCGCGTCCGTCCCTGCGTTCGTCCATGCATGCATCCGCCCCTGCGTCCATTCATGCATCCATCCGTCCGTGCAGCCATCCGTGCGTCCGTCCATGCATTTGTGTGTCCGCTCGTCCATCTAGTCAACGCTCCAAGTACCACGATCTCGCATCTTTTCATCATATATTCCGCATATAGAAGCACCGCCGTCCAGCGGGCATTCCAAGGACTAAACGAGAGATGGCACACGCACACTTTCTTACGACTTGCGCTTCGTGTCTATTTCCCACCTTTAACCACCTCGAGTTCATGGTATATACTAGTTTACTGTGTTCATGGCACTGCGGCTCAATGCTCGCTAAACCTTTCTAATACCCCTGTCACACGGGCACTTAAAAGTCTTTGAAGTAAGCGGTATTTTTCCGAAAAGGAGTTCCTGACAGCAGACGCACGGCACAGAGTGAACTCCTTTTCAGAAGCGGTTTTTTTTCGTAAACGGAGTTCGTCGATCTCTTTTACGGCTCCGAATGAGAAGCCTCGAAACCAGTGGGCGCCAGCTATTTTCGAGTGGTGGGAAAAAAAGAGCGAATGCTTATTTTTCTGTCAGCAAAACTCTTTGTAAAAACAAATTTCATATCCTGCAGAAGGTGTAATGAACTCTTTTAATGGTTATTTCCTTTTCAACTCTCGTAAGCAGCTACAACGTGTCGGCAATATCACGTGGTGACGCTCGGTTTCGCGCCGCGCCATTTTGCACAAGCGAGGAAAGCGTGGCAGTCGTGTGTTTGCCCGTCATTCAAGTGGTCCGAGTCCGAGCGTCTATGGCCAACTCCGCAGATCAAGCAGCCGGCGCCCCACGGAAAAGGCAGCGTCCGCAATGGTCGGAAGCAGACACGTGGAGCCTAATCAGACTCTGGGAGGTACAGTCCCTCGAACCACCTCTCGTTTCATCTGAAGGCCCAGATCGATCGATCGCAGGCCTTCTCCGGCAGCTCCAGTGCGCACAGCAAGGAATTGCTGAACAGCAGTATGCTTGATCCTCTCATTGGCGGCTTTTGCAGTGTCTGCCTCGCTTTCCAGAGCGAAAGGCAGGTCGTGAGGCTTGCGATCCTCGCTTTTTCTTCCGTACGATCACCCATAACGTGTCGAGAGCAGTAAAGAGCAGTGAAAAACAAATACGGTAAATAAAAGCCCAGTGGTGCCAGACGGACTTGTGCACATCGCTAGTTATGGGAATGCTTCCTTAACCAGTGCAACAAACTTCCACATTGGTGTTTCTTCATCTCTTATCCTTAAATTTATTTGAAGAAACAAGCAGTGCAAGAAGTCTTTAATTTGTACATCGTGATACATCGTTTAATTTTCATTGCTTCTCTTTTAACTGCTAGCGCCACGCTTTCGTTAGCGTCTTCAAACGAAAACACTAAAAGGAGATCGTTGCTGCCGTGTGTCTGCGCCGCAAAACTAAGGAGGTTACACCCAGCGAGTATAACGTAGCAACCTTTTCTTGTCAGATAGTGCTCAATGTACAGGCCAATGGCTGCTAATGGGGATCGCAGCGTGCGCGTTAACTAAAAGCTGAATGCTCCTGTATCATATTCCGTATTAGCAGCCACTGGCATGTACATTGAGCAATATTTTTTATTGTTCAACAACACACAGAAGAAATCTCTCACCGGCACTGCCTTAGAGGTCAAAATGTTATACTTGTTACATACTACAACGGTTACGAGAGACAAACGGGTGCTGCTATAAGAAGCTTCGCCCCTAAAATTGTTGTTTCTGATGAAACAACATACAGAGGAGACTGTCGGTGACTTCATCTCCAATAAAGTTTTCCTTCAACTTGATGCTTACATAAAGAAATCACAGCACATCCACGGAGTGAATGATGAGTAGAGTGAAGCGTTCGTCAGCCCGTCCGTGCTTCCGCCCGTTCGTTCGTTCTTGCTTCCGTCCGTCCGCGCGACCAGCTGTGCGTCCATCGATGCGTACATCCGTCTGTCCCTGCGTCCGTTTGTGAATACGTCCATCCGTCTGTCCGTCCTAGGGAGCCTTCATGTGCACGCGTCTCCGTGTTTTAGAGTGGTGACAACTCCGATAATGGTTGCTTACAACTGGCTAAAACGGCCCCCATACTTCACGGACCGCCATGTTGGTTTTGAGTGGTCACTCATTTACATTGACGGCAGCGTGGGTTTCAACGAGAAGAGGGTATTTTTTTATATAGCAAGTGCTGAAGGCTGAAGGGTTGTTTTCTGAAGTTAGCCGCAGTTTTGTAGAACAGGAAAGACATGTTCGTGACTCGAGTTTGTATAAAACACTGTTAAAACAGTTCGTTTCTGCCACTTGGTAGAACCACCGCATTGGCGGAGTGAGATTATTTAGGGAGCCTATATTTGCGAGGGGGAGAACTTCGATGTCACTATGAATGGACTTCAATGTCTGTGCGCCATTCATGAAGCATATTCACCTTAGCACTGCAAATACCTCAAAGGCCTCTTAGTGCAAGGCTCGAAACCGCGCTGTTTATATAGTGGAACTCGTAACGACAAGGAAGGCAGAACAAACAACCGGGTAGCTCGCGATGTTCTTTGTAAACTGAATAGCTCAGCTAGCCTGTTTCTCATACCCCAAACATTGCGTTTCTCCGTACTATAATTTCCTACAGAAAGTTTAGTTCCTGCGAACGAATCTGTACAATGACTGCTTAAAAACTTTACAAGCTGTAAGTATTGCCCGAAAAAGTAGGGTATTCAATCACATTACACCGCCCTCCCCTTTAGCCCACAATGTATATTAGGCTAGAAGAAAAGCAAAGGGGAGCAACGAGGGACAAATCAAGTTTTTCCATGTCAGATTTTATTGCAAATGCAAGGGGGTTTATTAGCGATGCCAGGTAATAGGCAGACAGCCGGTACAGAAACAAATGCTCGGGCAGTCCAGTGTCTACAGCTCGTGCTCGCGCTTCGCACTCAGCGATGGTCCCACTATCATTGCCTTGCGAATTCCCCACTACAATGCCCCGGCGACGAAGACGAGCCATCCTGGCGACTCAAGGTGACGAGAGAACAGGAGGGTCGTAACAGGGCTTGAGGCGACTGACGTGGACCGTCTCACGACCAAGGCGGCGCTTGTCCGTGGACGGCTTGAGTGGTTCAATCACATAGGTGACAGAAGAAGGGTGTTGTATGACGCGGTAAGGGCCCGTATACTTCGGTGCAAACTTGGGAGTCAGTCCAGGAGAGTGGAAAGGCAGTCGGAGCCACACGAGAGAACCGACGGGGAAGGTATTCTGAACAAGATCATGGTCGTGGCGATCTTTTTGGAGGGCTTGGTTATCGGCTGTGAAGGACCGTGCAAGTTGACGACACTCTTCGGCATGTTCAGCCATTTCAGAAACTGGGCTGAACTCTGAGGCATCAGGATTGTATGGCAAAATTGTGTCGAGTGTGTTGCATGGGTCACGACCATATAAAAGAAAAAATGGAGAAAAGCCTGTTGTTGATTGAATCGCCGTATTGTATAGGCGTACGTCACGAAAGGAAGAACAACGTCCCAGTTGGAGTGGTCGGAATCAATATACATAGCGAGCATGTCTCCGAGGGTTCTGTTGAAACGTTCCGTTAGGCCGTTTGTCTGAGGGTGATAGGCTGTTGATGTGCGGTGTACCGTACGGCATTAATGTAGGAGCTGCTGCAGAACTTCGGACAAAAATACGCGTCCTCTGTCACTCAGGAGCTCCCGTGGTGCACCATGACGAAGAACAAACCGGTGCAAGATGAAGGTTGCAACGTCACGAGCACCAGCCGAAGGCAGCGCTGCCGTTTCGGCGTACCTTGTCAGATGGTCGGCAGCCACAATCACCCATCGATTGCCACCAACAGAGCACGGTAGCGGGCCGTATAGGTCAATCCCAACACGGTCGAATGGGCGTGCAGGACATGGTAAAGGCTGTAGTTGACCGGGTGAATGAGGGAATGTCTTGCGCTGCTGACACTGGGAACATGAGCGAATGTGTTTGCGTACAAACGTGTACATACCCCGCCAGTAGTAACGTTGGCGGATCCGCTCATA